CGTAGAAACGAGCCTTGACCCATTTTCCGTAGGGGTGTTTTGAAGACGAATGATAGCCCTTTTTCCCTCAGCCAACAGTCGCACAATAAAGCAACCCTTGTTCGCTCCTATTTGAAATATACTTGCCCTGTTGATTAGCGACCGCCACCCACCAGACACTGTGGCGGGTACTGTTCTTCTCCTAGACTAACAATATTGTTTATTAAATAAAGAGGTATTAGTTCCTACAGAATTTCCCAGAAACGAGTGGCACAACATAGGCGGGATCTCCGCCAGTATTCATGGTTACATGGCACCCAACTTTCACGGTCGTAGGGTTAATACGTAGGTACCATTAACACGAAACATAACTGTTAGCAAATCATTTACAAATATACATACATAAAAACATCTATCAAAGATTAACGATTACCAACAAACTTTCTATTTTTATAACTGTTGAATTATTAAAATGAATCTAATGAAGCATAAAAAGTGAAGAAGCTTATATAAATGAACTCTTTATGTATGTCTCTGCATGGATACTTATTTTTTACTAATATGTTTATAAGCATAAGTTTTATTTATGCTTAGCAAATGCATTCATAATAATAAGATTAGGAAACACGAACTTCTAATTTTCAGTTAAAAAATAAAGATAAGAAAATATTCGATATTTTGACAATGCAAAATAATTTTTGAACTTTTTAAGAGCCGTGTGAAGCACGTTTCTCCTACAGGTCTAAAAATATTACTAGCAAATGATAATATAAATCGCTGAATAAGTATTTTTCTATTACATATTTCACACATTTTAAATTAAGTGAAATTCTTTTACAAAATTACACATAAGAAAATATGTTTAGTAAATCTAATTATATTTAAATACAAAAACTGGATTCATAATGCACGAATTTAAAAAGGTACTGTATTAGAATACTAGTGTTAACTATTAACAATAATACATTAACATTTTTTAACACTACTCATATTTCAGATTAATGAAAAATATTACAAATGTTTTATTATATATATATTAAAACATAATAAATTCATGCAATTTCTTTTTAAAATTTACGCAGAGTAACAACAAAAATAGCATTACTGCCAGCTTTCAACAATATTAGGAATTTTTAAAGCTTTAAGAAAACCTTTTTCTAGAAACGTTTTTGAAATAGTGATGGAATCAATACCGTATCTTGTAATTAATTTCAGTGTCAAATATGCTTTAGCTCTTACATCTTTTTCGAAGACATATGATAAAAACTTAACCTTAAAATGATAATAAGGGGGGAAAAATAAAAACTTAACCTTAAAATAATAATAAGGGGGAAAAAAGGTTTTTTTTTTTTTTTTTTTTCCATGAAGCATTTTCGAGCAGCGCCTAAATGAAGAAAGAGAAGGGGGGAAAAAAACTTTTTACATATTAAAGAACGTTTAGAACTTAGCTACATATTTGGTGCTCAAATCTGAATGACCAGATGTTAAAAATTACTCGTACATAGAAAGCAGAAATTACATAATGAGTAAGGAACAAAGAAGAATTCTTCAAATATAATAATACAAAAAGTAAACGTAACTACTTATAATATACCAGATGAGAGTTCAAGTAGAAAACTAAAAATAACATGAGGAAAAAAATTCTTGATACAGACACACTTGAAAAATCAGAGTCCTTATCTGCAAGACTTCATTGAACATGTAAAGAGTCTATTAATGCTTCACGAAATTTGGAATGTTAGATGATAAAAAGTTTTCTGCTTGAGAAATTATTCAACAATTTTATCTAATATAAAATTCATTCTGAAGAGAGATTATTTTTATCTATATTCATTCGTATAAACACATACGAAACGAAATTTTTAATGTTGTTAATGAAAATTCCTTCAGCAATTTATAAATCCAGTATCTGAATAATAACATTACAATTTCACAAAAATAAATAGTTTATTAATTCAAATATTTTAAATACATTATGAAATTCTGAAAAATAGTATAATTAGTGGTATTCCAAACAAATTAGTTAGAATTTAATGTAAAGTAAAAAATGATTAGTTATACTACTTATAAAGCCATTTTGTCTTTTCAAGAGATTTGATAATAGTGAAAAAGTGTTACCAGATCCGTGAATTCCCCCCCCCCAAATCTCATAAAGCCAATCATCCAAATGACTAAAAGCAACTTAGAATTTTAACGAAAACTACAAGTATTTTAGACATCGAATACTCTTATTTATTTATTTTTAGAGCTTAAAAAGGTACACATTATAGCATTTCTCTGATTATCTTACATCAGAAAATCGGAAAAGAAAAAAAAAAAAAAAAAAAAAATATACGAGGCGTTATATAGATATAAAAAAATAATCACTCAGCTGATCAATGTTTACGTCTATGGAGTATTAAGTGTTGCAATACAATTTTTATATTCGCTATATTATTTATATTTAGGATGCAAATTGATGAAAACATCCGGATTTGCTCTTTGTTTGTACCTTCACTTATAAAAACTGTTACTGTTTGAAGTTGTAAAAAAGTTTCAAAACTTTTGGTTAATATTTTTTCTCGTCTGGCATGTTTATTCACATAGTTTATACGAATTATTAACACAGAAAAATACTAATTCAGTGTTTGAATACATTGGGATTAATTAATTAATTATTTTTTGTTTCGAAGGTGAGACCGGGAACGGTTTGTAAAGCAATTTTAAATGGAATGCTAAATTTTAAAACTTTTAGTTGGAAAAGCAGGTAAGATGTTACTTTTATACATATAAAACCGTTAATTTTTAAGATTCCAATAATAGTGTCAATAAGATATTATAAGCTTTATTATTATGATTTAATTTTATGATTTGAATTCTGCGAACTGTTTTGATGTTAATTTTAAGATCTTATAAGATGAGTGAGCTTTAAGGCAACAGTTGCCTACTTTAGTTATTATTTATGGTTACATTATTTCCATCGTTAACAATGACATCAGTATTTTGGCTCGATTCCTTAGAAAATCGGGGATAAAATATTTTTTCTTCCACCATTCAGGAATTTTAAGTATAAAATTACTTTACTTTTTTAAAATCTTTTATCCTAAAATATAAAAGCTAAAATGGATGCTTAGCCCAGAAGAAAATGACATTTTTTTAAGGAAAATTTTAAAACAAAATTTTTTCAGTATCACAAAATTTATATTTAGAAATTCGCATCAGAATTATCAAATAGCAGAGGTTAAATTTCACAACTTAACAAAGGTATCACACACAAATAATTCTATAAATTTTAAAGCAATTTTAATTAAAAAAAAAAAAAAAAAAAAAAAAAAAAAAAAAAAAGAAGAAGAAAAGTAACGGAGGCAAGAAACCAAAACTCGTTAAAGGAAAATCTTAACGCTTTGTCACACAGTTTTTTCTTTCAGGGTTTCTATAGTTACCGATTGTCATCGCTTTGAATAACAAAGATATAGATGGAAATGAATTCTTTTGACAATTAAACAAAAGTTATATGAAACAAAGCTGCTCCAGAAAGTCAACTATCTATTGATTTTAACGAAAACTGATTCAAGAATTAATCTTAGATCTCTGAAAATAAAAGAAAATTCTATACGCATTCACATTAAACAACTTTACGCAGTAAAATTTTATAATTTTAAATTCGAAATACCCCAGCAAAAAAAGTTCTTTGGAAGTGTAAACATCGAGAAAAAATATTAACATTTTCGATCAAGAACAATTACCCAGTGTGCAAGGAAATTTAAAATTAGGTAAATATTATATTTTAAAGATATCTGATATTTAACAATGTTTCATAGCTATGGAAACTGATGTTCAAAGCTAATTTTTATGTACATAACTGAGTTACCCCTATATAAATAATAATAATTAATGTTAGTATTACTCTAGAAAATTTAAGATTTTCTATCTATTTGTGTTTGTAAAAACATTTCTTATCTAATTGATTCCCACAACCCTAAAGTTGCTTTTGATACATTATCAACAATGTTTAATTTTTCACAATCTGAAATAAATTATCCATTCGAAGCTGACTAACTTAATTTGTATATCATGTTTTAAGTAATAAAATTTTTGCTTGGTTACACAAGAAGGCTATCGTAACATATTGAAAAACTCCTGAAAGCAAATAACTTGACATTTTTTAGAATAAATCGTCAATTCAGGCATAAATAGTTAAAACAGAGATAATGAAATAATTTTAATAACGTAAGTCTGTAAAATTAAACACTTTGATCATAAAAATACTTAAATAAAAATTCAAATATAAAATAATCTGCCTTTTCATAAATCTAAACATTTATATATCTATATACAAAATATTTCTTTGAAGAAGAAGAACAAAATCGAGCAGTTTATGCATAGTTACATATTGGAATGTTTGATGATTGCATAGTCATAATAAGGCATTTACTATTTTCAGAAAGAAGGAAAATATTAACTTCTAAACACACGAATTAACATTTTTACATACATATAGAAATACTACATTAATAATTCTTATTTACAACAACAAATTAGTAGGTGCAAAAGTTTTGATACATGCTCATATAATGCAGCTAATCATGATCTCAAGTTCTTTCACGCAAATCCCTCAAATACCAATTTTGGTGCAGCAAATTTGAAAAAATGTTTTTAATGTGCAGCTTTGAGTAATATATTAAAATTATGATGAAGCATCCCAATTGATAATAAAAAAAAAATATGAGTTTTTTTTTTTTTTTTTTTCACTACAAAATACAATTTCAGTTTTTAACTAGTAATTGCTGTAATTTAGGGTTTTCCCGAAAGTTCATTTTGCAAATTAACTTCTTTTTTTCGATCAAATGAAATTTTACAGTGAGTATTATTATTTAAAATAATCATAAAACATTTTAAACATGCACTCCAAATTAACAAATGAAATATTCATTTTTCACATATTTTTGAACAAACTAGAATTTTAAAATACATATTTGTTTCCTAAGTTCAAATAAAAAAATTAAGGAAAATGAGAATTTTATTATGAAACATAAAAAGTAGAAAATATCTTTATCTAGTATATTGAGTTTTAAAATGCAGTTAAAATGTGAAAGTCCGTTTAGAAATTATTAAAAAGTCTCAACAGTTCAATTAACAAATTTACAAATTTAATTGAATTCCAAGATCTAAGGCACTTACGAAAATCATAAATGGGTATACTACGATCTCACTAATTCCAGCCAAGCGATACATACTTCTAAAATTGTTGATAGTAATGCCAACTAGAACCATCCGGTTCAAACGAGTTTTATCAATGGAAGAATTTTATCTGTGAAATATTTTTTTTTTCCCGTTATTTAAATCTTCGATTATCAAATTGATATAACATTTTAAAAGCATTCGAACTGAAAATGCTACACATTTCAGTACACTCCTATAGAAATCTATCAGAAGAAGCAATTATCCTCTACTAAAACATTTCTCAGAATCACCCGCAGTGAAACTAAACAATAAACATTAAAAGAAAGGGAGGAGGAAGGGAAAGAAAAAGAAAAACTCTGACTTATCAATATTTAAATTTAAGAAAAACGAACCTGAAGGCAATTCTTTAATAAGCTAACAAGAATTCTTTAAAAACTTAAATCTTAGATTTTCATAAATATTTCGAAAAGAGAAATTGTCAATTAGACGGCAATAGAGAAACTTAAATTAAACAATGAGGTGCTTTGTTCAATAAACTACATAGTAATTTAAAAAAATAACGTTAAATTTGGATGAAATGAGAATTAGGTAAAATTTCATGACAATTAAGAATACAAATCTGCAGGTGAATACCTTTCATTACTAATTTGTTTTTACACAAGGTATGTTCTTATAACGAGAAAACTACTAAATTCTCAACATATTTCACAGATGACAATTTCGGAAGGAAGAGTATTACTAATTACGAATTTTCATTTATTATATACTTTACCTACCTTACAAAATAGAAATAAGTGTTTGAATACACGAGTGAATTTCATTTAGCGATTCTAATTTTTTTTTATTAGGCATAACAAAAGAACAGAAAAGAAAGATCTAAATAATTGATTTTTCATACCAATTAATAAAACTATACGGTTACTATAAAATTAAAAGAAAAAACAGTGCCTGAAAAAACAATAAATAAATCATTTACTGCGTAGCATTCACTTTCCTCTTTGGTATAATAAATAATCTTTGCACAGTAAATTCTTTATGTTTCATAATAATGACTGCGCTGATGACTTCTTTCCTGATCTTCATAAAATGAGAGAAAATCAAAAGGGACAAATATACAAAATTACATGTATACGGACTTACCAAGAAGAAGCACTGAGTTTAATTTTTTAAATAAAATTTGAGTACACTATTTTAAAGAACAGACCAACAGAAGTTTCTTTTCTTTTCTTTTTTTAAATTTTACTTCACGTACTATATTCAATTCAGCTCACTTTCAAATTAAATTTATTCGCATTTACGTACTAATAAAAAAGGGTTAACGTACTATCCCATCGATCGTGAAACCGTTGCCAAGCAGTACAGTTTCGCGCCATTTATGAATGAGTGTTTCGAAACAATATACTCATAACATCTGCGCTTACGTCTGACGTAAATTCAACCGATTCTCGATAAGCCACTTCTCGTTTTTTCGAACAAATTTATGAATAATTTATTACTGCTGTACCTTTTCTACCATTTAAAAAATTTAAAGTTTGAGACCTTTCTTTTACAAAGCTAGAAGCAGGAAATTATTTTCAAAGTTATGGAATCCTATCGTCAAATTAAATGTGCATTAATGGACACGACATGGTTAGCTGAATATGGCCAATAAAACAGTAATAGATCTGAAACATTTATCACGGGAAATTTACTGACAGCGTTCTAAACAAAATTTGGCGATACCTCCGTCAGCTTTCAAGATTCGATGTTAGCCAACGTTCACGGTCGACAGGGAAAATACGTTAAGTAACATTAAAATTTCAGGCACACTGAATTTGTGAGATTTCCAATTCGCATCCCGTATGGAACAGCATTTGTAAGAATTGCATATGTAAAAGGATAGCTGCAGTGAAATCAGATCCTGTGCAGAAGGCAAAGGCGAGCAGATTTGTTTCCGGAGCAGGAATAAGGCAACTTTTGGGAGATATAGTTGAAATTAAAGTCGGATCCCATCTGGTTAGTTGGCTTTTTGCCACCGATGATAATTTCCTCCAGATCTCCCTTCACTGATTTGCTAAGTTCCTGTCTTGCTCTTTTCAGAATGTAGGCCAATAGGGCAACGCTCAGCACAACCTAAAACAAAAGTAAAAAAATATATACATATAATTTATACCAATAGTAAAACCGTTGATAATGCCGCGAGAAAAATGAATTTGATTCGAATATACATCCATGTTCACAAACAAACTTAACCAGCCTTTAGTTTAGCAATGTTGATCGTAGACATACACGTCCAATTACAAAAATGTTTTAAATGACGCGAAGATTCAGGTTTTGGCATTTTAACATTTAAAGAAGTCAATTTTGTGAAAATTAGGAAAGCTAATTCTCCGGTCTATAAAACTAAATCAAACGTTTAGAACGTCTTCAAATACAACCCTTCCTAGGCAGATAATTTTCGCTCGCTTCGCTATAATTAAATTAACTAATAATGTTAACGTAAAATTCCAGCGAACAGTAACTGCTTTTATCAAAGGATTGGTGGTAAAACTGCACTACAGGATACACAAAAACTTATCTGCCGGTCCTTCAATGCCACTGCTATGCATAATAATGGTCAGTAATGGTTCAATAATGGTTTTATTCTCAAAATGAAAAGGTTTATTTACTACATTTTTTATATGCAAACGGGCAATATTTTTTTTAAAATCAAACTTTACCAAACAGGCAATACTTTTTGAATGCGCCTCTGCGCTTTGCAAAAATGTAAAAAAAAAAAAAAAAAAAAAAAAAAAAAAAAAAAAAAAAATATATAATATATATAATATATATACATATATAAATAAATAACACATCAATGAGATCTGAATACTTAGTAAATGAGTGATACAACAGATATAATGCAAATGTTACTGGCAATGTAAGAAAGCCGGCAATCAATCTGTAAAATACCTAAGCATTCTTTTGAATGCCGAAAACTGGCCGGCAGCGTATGAAATAATTAACAATCCATACATTTCATAGGCATTTTGTAGAGTGTCAAATGACAAAACGGCAAAGTGTGAAATACATCTCCGACTCGTTTCGAATATCCATATATTTAATGCATTTATACAAAATCCATATATTTAATATATTCATACCATAAATTTCATATATTTTCATACACCGTTTTCTTTAATAAGAAGGCATGCATTTTGTTTTGCAGAATTTTAATTTTTCTTTACGCATTCTGAATAAATGTTTTTTAATGGCGCTCTTTCATCATTTTCTTAAAATAACATTTATATTTTTGAGGAATGCACGTGTTTTAAATAATAGCCTTATCATGACCCTTCTCCATGCTTATGACCTTTTTTCATACTTTGCCTAAATAGAATTTTAATTCTATAAAATGCCTAGGGAAAGTATGTATAATATTTCTAATACATATTTCATACTTTGCCTAAAAACGACAGGCATTTTAGCAAGTTATCACAAGAATCCGACAGGACTGGTCCACATCTCATCCCGTAAAGGTTTGACGTTTGAGACCATGATACTTAATAGCCGAAAAATTTTACAGCCCTCAACATTCGCTTCCGTAATTGTGTTAGCAAAAAGGCAAATAAGACACCCAAGATATCGTCAATGAATATTGGTACGTCGTGCTTCTATCACTCTAGAAATGCCACACTATCTTTCAACTAAGATAAAATACCGATTCCGTGTTGTACAGTAGATGCTGGTTGATGTAAACATGTGTGACTATTTTGATAACATCAACCGAATGATAACATTAAACGACGAGAAAGAATATCCTTCAGAACAGCGATAAAACTTAACTAATTTAATATAAATATACGGAGAAATATATAAATATTCCTTTTCACAGAATTTTAATTGGGAAAAAAATTGTTACTAGTGAACTGTCTGAAAGCATTATGCAAAAGTTAGAGTCTAATGTTTCTAGAAATAATTTGATCGATGCTTTACCTCTAATATTCGGTTTTTCTTAGATGGGGAATTCATCGATCTCATTTGTTCTGGATTTTTAATAACACATTTATTAAAAATGTGCTTCAAACTAAACAAAAGGCTGCTTTTTTGCCTAATCTTAAATGGTCGACTAAATAACAATCAAGCAGTTTGTTGACTCAATCTCTTTCTGGTGACATTTTCAGTCATTTGGCAGTTTTTAAAATTTATTTTGATCTTCTTCGGAGAATTTACTTCGATTAGAAAAATTGACTCACAACATTTTGACAACATTGACTGAACTGTTGATCATAAGCAATGTTTGTCGCATGTTAGCGCATACAAACAGACGGGACTTAGTATCGATAAGTGACTCGTCGGACCGGTAAGTAACATTAACCGCTATCACATTAAGCAGCATCTACTGTAGCTAAGCATTCAATCCTTCTGCCTCAAAAATGTTTTCTTAGGTCAGTGCTGAAAATTCGAAATGAAACACTACATTCCTTTCTAATTTGGACTGACTTACCAGTAGCCAAGCGGTAACCTCACTGAACGTTGCAAATTCGACCTGGGTTGCTAATCCCAGCAAACGAACTGGCTCCATAGGTATTTTCGTTGTTTTCTCCATCTGTAACATGGATACGAGTCAGTGATTCATAGAACATCCTCCACGACGGTGTCCCTCCCCTTAGGCTGATGGCTTTCGTGTGCTTTGCCATAATTAAATAGACCAAAGTAATATGGATTTACAGTGCTGTAGCTTGGTATACCTCCGTTCTGAAATGCATCCAATTTAATATACGTTCTATCTGGACGCGAAATTTGTGCTTTGGTGTACGACTTTTTATTTCAAATACGACTGAGTTCAATAAGTCACGAATGCGAGCATTATACCTGCTGACCTCTTTCGAGACAAATGCTACGACTCCCCATGAGTGTCAATATACCTGTTGCTAATATTCAGTATACACCTCGCGCTATAATTCTGAATTTTCAAATGATTTTGTGTTCGAATAATATTTTTCGTAAATCCGTTAACAATGAGTTTCAGGAAAGTTAATGTAAAGTGCCAAGCAACGAAGAAAATAGTTAGGATTACCACTGAAGTGAAAAAAGAGATAGCTGAAAAGCATGAAGATGGCATGCGAATCTGGGACTTGATTACTGCATGCTATAGGCCAAGAATGACGGCATCTGCGAATGTAAAACCAAAAGACGCTATTAAATAGGTTAACGTTGTGAAGGGGGTGAAATCGATTACCGGGCAAAGAATCAGAACACGTTTAAATATTGTTTTTGATTTGGACCGCAGGAAACATTTATGTTTTCATTTATGTACTGTATTTTATATATTATATATTTTAGCAACTGTATTTGTATTTTAGTATTAAATTGTGTTATAACAACAGGATTTATTTTATGAAGAATGGATTCGTTATTTTTTCTTTATTTTCGTATTGGAAAAGTTCGTATACATCTAAAGATCTGGAAAGGATTACCGACGTATGCCCAGGTGTTTCAATCCCCCCTCTCTCTTTACGAAAAAAAAAAAAATTATTTTTTATTAATGATTTTTTTCCGGACAAACTTTCCCTGCGTGCATAGTCACAACCCAAATAACAATCTCTAATTCGAAACGGCAGGCTACAAACGAACACAAAGAAAGCAACATTACATGCATTTCTGTCAGAAAGCATTCCGAAGCAGAAATCTGTCGAGGTGCAAATACCCGTATGTTTGCGTTGCTATCATAACATTACTCACGCAAAGTTATGGTTTGGAAAGAACCCGCATAAAAGACGCATGCCTTAAACACATAATCCGATCCGAAAAGCTAATAAAAGAAACATTCAATTATTTTCATTTCACTCCATACACAAACTACTTTTACATTAATTTACGTAATGTTTTAGATTTGAAATATTTTGCGTGCGCTGAGTATGTTTAACAGAGTAAAATTATCTGATGGGAAATAAGTTCTTTAACGAGTTTAATCTATAATATAAGGTGGTAAAGACACTGTGTCATCGGTTAAAGCTTTTTGTTACCACTCTACATAGAATAAGATGTTCATGTTTCAAATTTAATCAGAAAATTCGGCGGTATATTTGTCTCTCAAATGTAACCATTTAAATTATGAATTAAGATCACTTGTTTACAAATATGATTTGTCTGCCTAAACATCAGACACTTATCAGACAGGGGAAGAAAAGAAAATCGAAAATAATCTATACCGCGCAATTGAACACTGCACTTTCGTGACAACTATATACTACATCAGTATATTACGTAATATAATTAATCGCAATAAATTGCCTAATAATTGCGCAAAAGCTACAGAGTAATAAAATAATAATTTATTTTAATACGTTATTTAGTATATTATCTCCTTTGGCAAAAGTAGTTGGAATTCTATTGAAAGGAAGTAACTCATATTTAAAAATAGAAACTCAAGTAAATTTAAAATGGAAACAACAAAAATGAATCTTGAATAAATTTAAAATGGAAACTTTAAAAAGGCGTAGTTAAAGATGAAAATGTAATCAAGAAACCAAGCAAATATCGTCATTGACCGGAAATTAGTTGACTCTTCAAGGGGAACAAACTAACCCTGGATCAATTAACAATAATTAATAAATGCGAAAGTGTTTCGTCAATTTTTAAATATGCTAATGAATTACTTCATTTCAATAGAATTCTAACTACTTTTGTCAAAGGAGATAATATACTAAATTAGAAAATAAAGTATGTCACATAGTTTTTCTAATACATTTAATGAAAAAATTAAGCATTTATCCGGATCGTACACTTTAATGGTCAACTGGATATTTTTTACTCATATACAACACAGGGTGCATATTCTCGATAAAAACAGCCCAAAGAATGAATGAATAACAAAAATATGAACTTTTAATGCGATCTCCCGGTTCCTGAATTGGGAACGTTTTATGTTCGTTATGAAAAAAAATAAGAAGTTTGACTCTTGTATGACCCCCCCCCTAAAAAAAAAAAAAAAAAACTACCGGGACACTTAATTTTAAAATTTTTAATTTTTGATGTCATTTTCAACTTATCTTAAAGGCTCGGTTAATTAAGTAGGATCTATTCTAGGAAATAATTTTAAATGGAGTGTAGCAAAAATGTGTATAATTTGACAGGCCGTACATGAAAGT